CACACACACACACACACACACAATAAATAAATAAATAAATACTATTATGAGTCTTTACTAAACTGGGTAATACAAGATACAAATACAAAACATCAGTGGTTTTCCCTCATACTTACAATATCAAGACAGAAACAGAAACGTAAAAATATCCCATTCTTATTACTAGCATATTATTAGCAACTTAGCTATTATTAACAACAAAATATAAAAAGCTAGGAATAAGTTTAGCAAAAGGAGTAAAAAGTATTCAAAAGCTTTACTAATCAACAGAAGAGCTGAATAAACACAACAGCCCACATTTCTCAATGGGCAGATTTAACGCATTGTAAAACACCAACCCTCTCCAAAATGATTTATAGGTGTCATGCATTTCCATCAGAATGCAAATTTAATTTGTTGTAGACTTCAAAAAAATGGTTCCAAAGTTCATGTGGGAGAATGACTATGAGGAAAAGTGTGAAATCACCAGGGTAAAGAGGACCTACCCTATCAGATATTGAGAACTTTTATGAAGCTGAATTACAAGCTATCCAAATAACAGGATACCAGCACAGCAGCCACGCAGATAAATAAATCAGAAGAGAGTTCAAACATAGGCCCAAATATAAATGGGAATTAGACAAAAATAAAATAGGGGGCACTGGAAGTCGGTGCAAAAAAGATGGTTTATTCAATAACAATATTGAGACAGTCAGTCACCTGGTTGAAAGAAACTATAGACAAATCCTACTTCCAATCATATACAAAAATAATTCTTGATGAATTAAAGATAAATGTAAAACAAATGATATATACACACATATACATATACACACAGACATATGAAGAAAATATAGGAAAAAAGAAACTTCAACTCTGGGTAAGGGAGGCCATTTTAAATCAAGACACAATACCCTGAAGCCACAAAAGGAGAAAAAGAATTGCGATTGAGCATAAACAAAGTAAACTTCTATAAAGCAAAATCCCAGCAAGAAGAACGCTGGGGAGTCCGCCAGCTGGGTAAGAAGCACCGCGTACCCCACGGTGGCCATAGAGGACAGTGGCCATGAGCGGGACTCAGTCTAATGGCCCTGTACTTCAGTGTCCTCGGCCGAAAGTGGAGGAAACACCACGGCCTACCAGGCACACGGTGCCTGAGAGGATTCACGAGTTAACTGGATGGTCTCCTCGTGTTGCTATCCCCGCCAATAAAGATCCCCTACTCGAGGATAGGAAATGAGGATACGAAACGACTCACAAACTTCCTTCCTCCCACCCCAACGGACAAAGAACAGGAACAGAAAAGGAAGCGGCCAATGCACACCGTCAAACTCATTCAAATTACAGGCAATTGGGAAGTAACAACCTTAAATGACATTCTGCATATCAGACTGGCAAAGCAGAGACTGATTATAAGCAATACCGGCAGGGATGTGGCAAACTAGTGTTCTCATATACTCTTGGTGGAAGTAGAAATTACTACAAACTTTTTAGCACATATCTGGCAGTATTTATGAAAATCTAGACTGCTCGTGAAGTTGACCAGTAACCCCACTTACAGAAATGCACGCCACACATAAAAGCTCTGTCAATGTGTGTGTACAAGCACTACACATGTAACAGCAGAAACCGGTGACACTGAGCCTTCACGAAGAGAGACGGCTGAATAAATCAGACATGCCCGGGGGGTGCGATACTCAAGTTATCACACGAACAGACGGGCACTGTGTGAAGACTGTCCACCAGCCGGTAAGGGAAAAGCAGCTACGGAGAAGTATGTGCAATATGATCTCATTTTTCTTAAAAAAATTAAAGAAAACAATCCTCTCTAACAACCAACCCCTCGATATAATCACACACACATTTGTGCCTACATCTCTCCGTGTAATGACCGCAGGGCGCAGACCCAGTGGTTAGCGCTGGTTCCAGAGTGGGAAGGATTACAAGGGAGGAGCACAGACTACGAATCTGACTTTAGACACATTTATATTGTTCAAGTTTTTATGAGGTTTGCCTTGAATTTGACATGATTGAATTTTTTAAAAAATTAGTAGATGTTATTTTTTTGGGGGGCAGTTTAAGGTTTACAGAAAAATTGAGCAGAAAGTACAGATAGCTCCCCAATACCCCCTTTCTCCCCACGCTCAGTTTCCCCTGTTATTAACACCATGTGTTGTGTGGCACATGTTACAAGTGACAAGCCAATGTTGATACATTACCAGGAAATGAAGTCCACAGTCCACATTAGAGGTCACTCTTTCTCTTGTGCGTTCTACGGGTGCTGACAAATGTCTAATGATATGTACCCACCATCAGGGTACCATAGAGCAGATTCACTGCCCTAAAATCCGCTGTGCTCCCCTGTTCATCCCCCCGCCATCCCCCCAACCCCTGGCAGCCCCGGATCTTCTTACTGCCTCCATACTCTTACCACAAGATCCGGGGACTTTGCTCCTTGGTATTGACCCAAATGAGCTGCAAACTAATATCCACACAAAAATCTGCACGTGAATGTTGAAAGCAACTTTATTCATAATTGCCAAAACTTGAAAGCAACCAAGATATCCTTGTCCTTTGAAACGATAATTAAACCGTGGAACATCCAGACAATGGAATGTTATTCAGTGTCAAAAAGAAAGGAGCTACCAAGTCATGAAAAGATATGCGTACTGCATATAAATATGCAATTATTTATATCTTTCACTTAGCAATATGAAAGAAGCCAACCTAAAAAGGCTACATACTGCATGACAACCAAATGACTGAACTTTTTAAAAATAAAATAAGGTTGAAGATTTGCTCACAAAGGGTCTTAAGGTTGGGAAGCCAGGCAGCATGGGTGTAGAGGGTTCTGGCACTCAGACAGTCCCACGCTGGAAACAATGACCACACTAAAGTAGGGCTCGGCAAATTGTGGCCTGTAACCAAACCCAGCCCACTGCCCATTTCTGTATTTTTATATTTTAGGTAAAAAAAAAAATCAAAAGAATGTTTCATGACATGAAAATTACATGAAACTCACATTTCAGCGTCCATAATACAGCTGTGTTGGAACATAGCCACTCTCCCTTGTTTACTTGTTGTCTATGGCCGCTGTTGCGTGACAACACGGCTGAGTAGTTGCGACAGGACCACATGGCCCGCAAAGCCTAAAATATTTGCTATCTGCCAACTCCTGCAACAAAGCTCTCTGTTCAAGTCAAGACCGTTTTGTTTTGGCCACAATGGAGCCTCCCAGCAGCCTTCAGGTCTTCCTCCCGCTGACAGCCCCCCATCTAAGCCTGCCGTGGGCACCGTCCACAGCCTAAGGCCGGCCCCTTCCAGGACAGGCCCAGGGATGTGGGGGACGGGGCAACAAACTGCAATGAGATAGAAACAAGCCCCCTACACCAATCTCCAGAGGCCTTCACTCGAAATGACAGTGTCAAATGTCACCGTGTACATGGGGAAAACCAAGCTCGTGAAAGAGAAAAACCAGGACAAACAACTGAAAAACTGACCACGGAGGAGAGAGAGATGATGCAAACAACTGTATCCTTTAAACAAAAAAAGAGCAGAGAATCTGAAAAGGTTCCTGAAAATTAAAAACGTTTCTGTAAGGCAGACAGTTGATAGATACTCTCTAAAGTATGTAAATCGAGAAGCAGAATCTATTAGTCAAACATAAAAATTGATCAATTGACAGTCACCAGGAAAACTAACATCAGAAATGATTTGAAAAAGTGGTTACCTGCGGGAAAGAATCTGAGAGGAGGAGGAGGGGCGACGTTTTCAGTCTCATTTCTCCTTTCATATAAAAGCCGCGATAGTCTTTCACTTTGATGATTCCAAAGCAAAACAAATTATAACTAACCATAACTCATTCCAAACTGCTCTGCCCCCTAGCCCCCACCTCTCCTCCCTTTCCAGGTCCCCATCCCAGTTCCCAGAGCCCGAGACGAACTGGGCTGCCGTCTGCTCCGTCTGGACCTCCAGAGACTTGCTCAGGCACCAGTAGCCGCAGTGGCCTCACAGTCTCAGTCGGCCGTTTCAAAGCAGCCCCGTCACCAGTCATACCCATTCTTTCTCACAGATTCTAATACGAAGCCTGGGGCAGAGCAGGGACCCCCGAGGCTGGCACAGGGGTATGAGAATGCAGCTTCCCTGTGAGTCCCACATGAACTGAGAAGGAAGGTCATGCAGGTCACGGTCAGAGGTCCCTAAGAGCCAGGGTGCCCTGTTCTCGGGGGCCAGAGGAGGAGCGATCCATGGGGAGTTAGGTGGAGCCCCCTGAAGCCTGGGGCACCCCTCTGCTCTGTGCCCCACGTCCCCTTGAAAGGAACCTGTCCCTCCCCCCAAACCTGAGGAATGGCGAGAGACGAGCACCCCCATCACCGAGAGGCCACCTACTTACTACAGTGAGGTGCCTCTGCGAGTCCAGGGCGCTCGAAAACATGAAGTAATCTACAGTTTTCCGGGAAAAGATCCCTTATGGGAGGTTGGGTTCTGTCCATGTGTGGCCCCAGGCAGAACCTGTGGGTTTACAGGGAACCACACGGCTCAAGACTCAGAGATGGCCCCCATGGCTCGGTCTCGTGTCTGCTTCTATGAAATCAGGATGACGATGACCACGTGCACTCTGCTCGGCCGCCGTGAGAACCCAATGAGACAACGGAGAGGATTCATTATAAGCGCCAACCAAGTCTGAAATACTAGTCAAGTTATCATGGTTTTAACACTTAGTTTGCCCGTGGGGGTAACTAAAAGCTGCAATTATCTGGGCAAAAACGTCCAGGGACCTGGCTTCGGAGGCCGTGCAGCTGAGTCAGGAGCACGTCATCTGCAATCAGTCAGACTGAGTGTCAGGCCTGACCCCACACCTGGCAGCTGAGCCTCCTGCAGGTCAGATTTCTCACCTGTACCATGGGGCTCCTGCCCCTCACCTCACAAGTCGGCTGCGATGATTAAACAAGATGCTCAAGACAAAAGGCCCAGCAGCACCCCGTCAGTACCCACCCCGGACCCCCAGGCGGCTCACTCACCTCGTGCAGATCCCAGGCACGCACGGTGCCGTCCGAGGACACAGTGCACACCACGGACTCCTCCTGCCCGTCAAACCGGCACTCATTGGTTGAGATGTAGGCCAGCTCATCTATCTGTCCTGGAAGGGAACACAGACACAGACGCCCGGGACAACAGCCAGTGCTCTCTCTCTCAGGAGCACAGCAGGCGCCGGTTCAGGAGACAGCAGTGGACAGAAGGAGCCAGGCTTTAGACTTACAACTCGGGCTTCACGCCCAGCACTGCCTACCACCCCCAACCATGTAACCACAAACATTCCCTCCTCTCTTTCTGTTTCTTTCAACTTTGAAATAGATATAACGATCCCTTCCTCACAGGGTTACTGTGAGGATCAAGTGACATAACACAGATATAGGACCCAGCAGGGCATGTACTCAAGTGGCATTTTCCAATTCATTGGCTGAAACACCAAACCGCACGAGACTCGACCAAGGAGAGTAAGCAGTGGGAAAGCACACCGCTACCACATTCCCCATCCTGTACCTTTGTGCCCAGCAAGGGCTTTGCAGGTGAAGTCCTTCTCTGGCCGTCCAGATTCCATTCGGAACTCCAGCTCAGATCGGCAGAGATAGTACTGTTTCCACGTCTGTGTGCCCAGGGTCATCTGGGGGGCTCTACACGATGACCAGCGTCTCACACACAGCTGCCTAAAAAACAGACCCAGGACCCCAGGCAGGACAGAGCAGTCACTAGAAGGTACTGTGGCATCAACAGGCCTCGCTTTGATTCCTGGCTTCACCGTCTACCAGCTTGGACAACCCACGTTGCCTACACAACCTCCACTTCTCCTGCTATTAAATAGGGATCATGGTGAGATGATACCGAGCAAGTGCTCACCAAACGTCAGGTGTAAGTGCTTTTTGTATATCCAGCCAATCCAGCCAGGAAGTAGGTCCTGACCCCCACTCTACCCTGAGAGAGGGTTAAACAACTCACCCAAGGTCACGCGGCTGGAACTCAAGAGTCCGCGCTGTTTGAAGTCTCCAACTCTTACTGTTGAACTATTTCTCCCTTCAATTCTGTCAGACCTTCATGTATTTTGTTGCTCTGTTATTAGGTGCATATGTTTATAACTTTTAGATCTTCATGGATTGGCTTGTTTATCACTATAAAATATCCTTCTTTGTCTCTACTAACACTTTTTGTCTTAAAGTCTATTTTGTCTGATATTAGCATGGCGAGTCCAGCTTTCCTTGCTTAGTGTTTACACGGTATATTTGTTCCCATTCTTTTCTTTTCAACCTATTTATGTCTTTGAATATAAAGTATGTCTCTTATACACAGCATAAAGTTAGGTATTTTTTATCCCTTCTGCAAACGTCTGCCTTTTTATTGGAGTGTTTAATCCATATACATGTAATGTAATTACTGATAAAGGTAAGATTTACCTATGTCATTTTGCTGCTTATTTCTATGTCTTAGGTATTTTTTCCTCTTTTCTTCTATTACTGCCTTCTTTTGGATTAAATATTTTCTAGCGTCCTACTTTAATTCCCTTGTCATTTCTTAAATCATATATTTTTAAGTTTATAGTGGTTGCCTTGGGGATTACTATTAAAACCTTAACTTATAACAATCTAGTTTTGATTAATATCAACTTAATTTCAATAGTAGTCAAGAACTTTGGTCTATATAGCTCCATTTCCTACCTCTCTCAATTGTGCTGTTATTCTCATACAAATTATTTTTATACATTATGTACCTATCAACAGAGACTTATAATTATTGCTTTATACAGTTGTCTTTTAAATCATATAGGTGAAAAACAGTTACAAACAAAAAATACATTTATACTACCTTTTATATATAACAATAGAGTTACTTTACTGGTGTTATTTCTTCATGTGGATTCAACTTACTGTCTTATGTCCTTTCATTTCAATCTGAAAGACTCCTTTAGGATTTCTCACAGGGCAAGTGTACTAGCAACAAACTCTCTGAGCTTTTGTTAATCTGCGAATGTCTTAATTTTCCCCTTCATTTTGCTAGATATAGAATTCTCAGTTACAATCTTTTTCTTTCAACACCTTCAATATGTCATCCCACTGCTTTCTGGGTTCCATGGTTTTTTATAAGAAATCAACTGTTAATGTCACTGGTTCCCTTGTACATGATGAGTTGCTTCTCTCTTAGTGCTTTCAAGATTCTCTGTCTTTTGACTTTCTAGTTTGATTAGAATGTGTCTTGATGTGGAACTCTTTGAGTTTATCCAGCTGCAGTTCATTGAGCTTTTGGATGTGTAAATTAACATTTTTAATCAAATTTGGGAAGTTTTTGGCCATTACTTCTTTAAATACTCTGTTCCTTCTCCCTTTGTCCTCTTATTCTGGGACTCCTATTATGCAATGTTGGTAGGTTGGTGGTGTCCCATAGGTCTCCTAGGCATTGTTCATTTTTCTGCATTATTTCATTCTGTTCCTCAGACTGGATAACCTCCATTGACCTATCTTCAGTTCACTGATTCTATCTCCGGCCTGCTCAAATCTGCTTGTGAATTTTTAATTTGACAGTGTACTTGTCTACTCTGTAATTTCTATTTAGTTATGTTTTCAATTTCTCTTTATTGATACTCTCCATTGGATGAGACACCGTCTTCATACCTCCCCGTAGCTCTTTCCACATGGCATCCTCTAGTTCTCTGAATGTACCTAACACAGCTGATTCCAAGCCCTCACTTGTAGGTCCAGTGTCCGAGCCTTCTGGGGGCAGTTCCCGTTGTTTGCTTTGTCTCCTGAGTACTAGCCACATTTCCTTATTTCTTTCCATGACTTGTAACTTTTGTTGAAAACTAAACATTTTAAATAAGATAATGTGAACTCTGGAAATCTGACCTCCCCTAGGTTTGCTGTTTTTGCTGCCTGTTGTTATTATTGTTTGTTCAGTGACATTTCTGAATGAATTCTGGAGAGTCTGTACTCTTGGTTACATGTGGCCACTGAAGCCTCTGCTCAGTTACATTAGTGCTCACTGATGACTGAACAGAGATTTCTCCAATGCCTGGAACCACTAAGTCTCCCCATTATTGCCAAAGGGCTCATGCGCATGTTGGGGCATGTGTTCAACACATAGTAAGGCAGCTCTGCCTTAGCCTTCACTTCCTGCTTGCACAAAACTCAAGGTTAGCCAGACACGTGAGCTTAGAGCCTCCTTAGGTCATTCCTGAGTCTGCACATGGCCCTGCACATACACGTGGCCTTCAAGATTCCTAGGAATGTGTCGGAGCTTTTAGATGCCCCTAAAGACATCACATTCTCAGCTTTTCCTTTCAAGCTTTTTGGTTAGCCTACTGTTTGCACAACTGTTGTCCATTGGCTCTGACAGCTGCAAAGCTAAGCATGCATCTATAACGATTTTAACAAATGCCCCAATGTAAAGGCTTTTCATACTGAGTGAACTCCAACTCAGGCAAGATAAAGAGAGCCTGCATGTGGGGTCTTCCAAGAAACACCATACAGATCAAATAATGACAATTCTTTGGGAATGAGGCTTTGAAGGGTCTCCCATCCCATTCTTCGCCCTCCAGTGACTTCCAGGCTCCTTTCACTATTATTGTGAGCTGTAGGTATTTAAGGCTAACACAGAACTGGAGGGGCGTTATGGGAATAGGGCAAGTGAACACTTGCTGTTCTTACTAAGAGTCAACCATTTTTTCTTGAATAAACACTTCCTAGACTATTACAAGTCTCTGGTTAATTGCCGGAGTTCTGAAAAAATTGATTTTGACAATTTGTGCCAGTTTTCTCATTGTTTTTATGGAGGAAAAAATTTTCAGATGTCATTAATCCACCATTTTCCAAGAACCTGCATTCTTAACTTGTATGTAATGGCTGTCAATTCTATGATAGCACCTCTCTCATAAGGTTGCCGAGGATAAAACGTGAGCTCGTCCACACTGCGGAGAACTAGTGAATCCCTAGTCTGTGGACCCCAAAGTGAGTGAGACGTGGCTCTCACTCTGGGGCACTTACAGCTCGTGGTTAGGAGGAGGATGAGCAAAACTGAAATTTAGGGGAGAAATGCTACGCCTCATAAGGGGCAGCTGATGGTGCCGTGGGAGCTGAGCACAGGGAGAGCGACGTCTGGCTGGGCGAGGGTTAGGGAGGCTGCACGACAGAGGCTTCAGCAGTTACAGTCCCCAGCGCTGAGGCGGCAGCGTATGGCTCCAGTCCAGCACTCACAGCTCACAGAGCACACAAATGAGGTCAGGTGGGAGAGGAGTGGCTCACAGCCCACAGCCTGAACAAGGACAACACAGAGTCTCTCTCCACCACGGCTCGTGCACTCACGGAGCACCTACGTGCCAGGCTGTGTGCGAGGCCTCGGGGACCTTCTAACACACTGAGAAGATTCCAGGGCCATGCGCTTGCTGAAACTCTGCTCCTTCCACCAGGAGTAGCACACCGGCAGTTGTGGGCAAAATGTACCCCCAGATTATTCTGTTTGGCCTGCACAGGATTGGCCTACATGAACCAGCTGCCAACACTTAAAAATCAGGAGATTTCACATAAAAACCGGGTAAAAGCAGAAGTCTAGCTAGACCGAACCCAAATTCCCACCTGGAAACATGTCTGGAGCCACACAGAGCTGTACCTTTAGACAAGAATGAGCTCTCAGTGACACCACGGTCTTCATCATCCTTTTTATCTCCTGGACTCTGAGGCTGAGTGTTGTTGCCTCATCTCACCATTCCTATGCTGTTGACTTTCTTTTAGTTGAAATAAGAGAAAAGGGAAATTTCTTGTACCCATATCTCAATCTATATGGTGTGAAAATAAACACTAGACCAAGAAAATGATGTGGTTTAAGAGAAAGGGGAGAGGGCACATTTCTTTGTGGAAGTAAAGTCTATTTCTATATATTTAAGGCCATTATACATCAAACCATAGGTAGGACCCACAACCAATATTCAGAAGAGATAAAGAGACCAAATGATTTGACCAAAAAAAAGGCAGACTGTCAACAAAGTTGAAGTATGAATATGAATAAAGTACATGATACAGCTCGGAGACACAACGATGTATCAAGTGAAAGATACTGTGGAACCAAAACCTTCCACAGAGAGCAATTAATAACAAAACAATCTATCGTACACAACAGAAATTGTGTACCTTAAATAAAGGCAAGTATTTGCAATTTTACTTTTAACCAAAAAGCTAATGCTTAGTGTGCTGAAGAAATGGCAGCATTTAAAAGGTTATGAAGCATTTAAAAAAGTGACTTGCAGCATTTTCAATTAAAATTATAAAGTACAGATTAAAAATATATGACGAGTTAACCATGTTCACTTACTGTGTCCATAAGAACTTCTATGGGCCTGCAGAGCCTTTGGACCTGGTACCATGATAGACACAGCATCAGAAGTGACACATGCACGTGACCACAGGTGATGATGCTCCTGGAACGCTGCTGTCCCAGCTCCAGAAACATAAACCCAGTGTTTTTATAAGAACACAGGTCAACGATACAATCCCAAGGAGTGACTTTATGCTAAAAAAGTGTAGCACCAAACACCACGAAACAGTAATGAACTGAAAACCTGTTGATGCCTTGGCTTGCAGATGGCCGAACAACCTGCCTGAGGAACCTGGAGGCCCAGCGTGGTAACAAGACACACGTGGAGGTTAGGTGACAGGCCCTGAAGAAACAGACTTGCTCATGTCACTCAAATGGAAATTCCTACCCAGCTTCTCAGCAAAGATGAGAACAAAGACTAGGGTTTAGGGTTGGCATCCCACCCATTTAACATGTGAACACTGCTCTGTGAGGACTTCCACAAATAGTTACACCCATCCGTGAGTCAATTCATTTGTTCTCAGTGACACAATGTCTTTGAGAATCACATTTGGCAAGACATAATCTTGTCCACTTACCTACAGAGAAATGAATTTCCAGAACTGAATGTTCTATCTAGAGTACTTTCCCCAAATTGTAGAGACAAACAGCGAAATCTAATAAAAGTTCTTTGACTTCAAAACTGACTAGAGATTAACATCGTTTTTCAAACTGATATTATTAGCAATAAAAGTGAGTGAAAAGCAGCAAACAATGCTGTATGATACTGAAAACTAAATATGGCAAGAATGGCATTCCAGAATTCTCAAATATCTCAATGCACAGTTATCCTAAAAATAAAAACCATCAAGCAAAGGTTCCCCCCATGTTTGGAAGACCCTTCATGTGCGAACAGCTGTTCTCCATCACGAGTGACTACAACTAAACACAGCTCCTGGCTGACAGTCAAAGCTACAGTCTGTCCCGTATGCAGCAAGAGGCAGAAGACGTGATACTCTTATCTTGGCACAAAAGAAAAGACGTCAGGTTCCAAAAGAGGAAGGAATAGGAAAGAAAATTTTAATAATTTAATGATTAAAATATTTTATTTTCAACTTTAACTTTTCGAGTTTTATTTTTTTTAAGTTCTAATATCGTACGTGCTTATATAGCTGTGTTGTTACCCCAAAGCTGAATTAAAATAAAAGTGGTTTATCTGTCTGTTGACTTGTCTTTCTTCAGCCAGCTGCACTCATTTGCTGCACCTTGCTGCCCCTGAGTTTGGTCCCCCTGCCTTATATCAACCTCCCACTCGATTAATAAAATCTCCTATATTTTCATATACTATAAAAAAGAGTCTTACACTCCAATGAGGGAAGAGTTTCCTGCTGGTAGGGGCTGTGGATTGGCCCTTCTTGTGCACTCAACAGAGCCAGAAACGCAGCGAGTGCTCACAACCTTATCCAGTGCACCCATCCTCCCTATGCAGGACACTCTCGGGACCATGTTTGGCTCTCCCTTCACTCACCTCCACAGCTCCTTGGTCTTTGAAACCTCATTCCAGACCTAGAACAAGAGGGGAGAGAAGAGAGAACGTGGTCAGTGAACATGCAGCTAGCACTGGCCTGCCAGGCCCTGGGAGAGGAAGAGCTAAATCAGACCCAGTGCCCGCACTCAAGAAAACTCACTCCGGGGAATTAGACACATTCAGACAACCCAGTAAAAACCACCAAACAATGAGTGAGAACCGAGGGAAGGACCAACTCAGTGGGGCCACAGGGCTCAGAAGTGACACTGATCAAGAACCGAAGGACGAGTAGCTGTCCGCAAAGAGAACGGCTGAAGCGTTCCAGGAGAGAGAAGTGCCTGGGCAAAGACTCAGAGGAGTAAAAGGTGGTGAGTAATTTGCCTTAATTAGAACACAAGGTTCCAGGAAAAGGAGATGGAGACAGCCTTAGATCAACTCCCAAAGGTTGTAACAGCAAAAACAGTGAGGAGCTACTTGAGGACTGTGAACAGAAGAAACGCGGGTCAGACTGTGTTTTAGGAAGATCACTCTGGCTGCTGTAAGAAGGGTTGGAAATGAGGGCCGAGCAGCAGGCCCCGAAGAAGGCTGCTACAATGGAGGGAAGTAAGGCGCTGGCCAAGGGCAGGTCCCAGACATGCCAAGACGGTGGCATGGAACAGCTGCCCAAAGAGGGGCACCACGTGGACCCTGCTCCCACGAACTGCTCTCTGCAGAAGTATTTGGAAGAGACTCGGGATGGCCCTGGAATGGGGATCAGAGGACCATGCCTCGCCTTCCCTCAGGCCCACGCCTGCATCCTGGAATTTCCTGGCCTCCCCAGCTGGGGCACCCTGGATTCTGGAGCCTCACAGCTTCAGTAGGAACCACTCCGGAGCTTTCTGTGGCCCAGCCCACTGAGGGTCCCATCCCAGAAACGTGGCTTTCCAGGCCCTGTCAGAAGCAAAGACCGTCCTCTCTGAGCCCAGACTCCCACTTCCACAGCCCTCGCTCATCCACTAGATCAAAGTTTCTCAGCCCTTAAGAAGTCTTTTTGGCTGGTAGGAATGTAAAGTTTATATTTCGCAAAATCAAACCAAGCAAGAAAATTTATGCATTTTCCTTTTCTATCGTTCCCAGTGCAAAACCCAAATGAGATCTTATTTCCCAATTACAGAATTATAATGCGTAATATAATCTGCAAGAGATGCTACCCACCTTTCGGGATCCCTCTGTTAGATCCTGGCCTTCACAACAACACTGTGAGGCAGGATTATTGACCTCATCTTACCTAAGAGGAGACTAGGACCTGGAGAAGCTGGTGCTATCAAAGCATATAAGGCACCTCCCTTTCAAACTCTGCTCCTCTGCTATTCCTAGCCTGCTGCTAACAAACAGCCAGAGCTCCGATTCCAGCTTGGTAGGGGACTGACTACCTGGGTGACCTTGGACAACGCACTCACTGTGTGATATTCGCTTTCCTTATTGGTAAAAATGGGGATGAAAACCCAGTATTTTACTTGATACATTTAAAATTACAATTACAGAATTCAGGTAAAGATCTATTTATCAATCAAGTGAAGATTTATTAATCTTTTTATAACGATATAATGAATTTTAAAAGTAAAAATATTCATTCACTCAACAAATATTGACTGAGAGTACACTAAACGTCAAGGCATACAGTGGGTGCTGGAGATACAGTGATGCAAAGGACAAAATCCCTGCTCCTAGGAAGGAGTCTACAGGGGAAAGCAGACACTCGACAACCATTTAGCTACAGCGGTGCCGAGTCCCAGGGAGGAAAAGCTCAGAGCATCTGTTACATGGGCGAAGCGCCGATCACACTAATGCCCTCGACAGACAGCGAGTGCGCACAGCGAGGACGGGCGTGCGAATGGTTGGGAAGCGACAGCCCTGAGCCCACAGGAGGAGGTGCCACTCCCAGAGAGAGCGGGGGCACGGCTTCCCAGAATATTCCAGAAGACGAGGGAGGGGAGACAAAGCCGATCTGAGGGATGAACCCTGATGCCACGGCGCGCGCATCTTGTTCACGGGGTCAGGACAGACGGGTGGACAGACGGACCGCGGGGTGGAGGCTTGCAGAGCGACCGCTCCAAAGGCCGCCGAGGTCACACCGGGGCCACGAGCGCCCTCTGTCGATCACAGATCCAGGAAGCCCGACGCCCCTCGAAGACGGGGAAACTGAGGCCTCGAGGAGACGCGCCGGCCGCACAGCTAGTGACCATGCGCCCAGCCCTGCCTCAGCCCGGGACAGGGCGCGCTACCTTGTCCACCTGGGCGGCACAGAGCAGGTCTCGGGCACCCAGGAAGGAGAAGACATGCAGCAGCTCGTGCGAACCCAGCTGCAGCCCCATAGCACCTGCTGCCCCGGCCGGCTCCGTCACGCCACGCCTTCGCCGTGCTTCCGCCCCGCAGACCACATCCTCCCAGCCCAGCGCACTTCCGCCCCACTCAGCCAATCCCCGCCCACCCGCCGCGCTTCCGCCCCGTTCAGCCAATCCACGCTCAGCTCAGCGCGCTTGCGCCCAGCTCAGCCAAATCCCCGCCCACCCACCGCTCTTCCGCCCCACTCAGCCAATCCCCGCCCACCCACCGCTCTTCCGCCCCACTCAGCCAATCCCCGCCCACCCACCGCTCTTCCGCCCCACTCAGCCAATTCCCGCCCACCCACCGCGCTTCCGCCCCGCAGGCCAATCCCCGCCCACCCACTGCGCTTCCGCCCCGCTCAGTCAATCCCCGCCCACCCGCCGCGCTTCCGCCTCACTCAGCCAATTCCAGTCCACCCGCTGCGCTTCCGCCCCACTCAGCCAATCCCCGCTCACCCACCGCACTTCCGCCCCGCAGGCCAATCCCCGCCCACCCACTGCGCTGCCGCCCCGCTCAGCCAATCCCCGCCCATCCACCGCACTTCCGCCCCGCAGGCCAATCCCCGCCCACCCGCCGCGCTTCCGCCCCGCTCAGCCAATCCCCGCCCATCCACCGCACTTCCGCCCCGCAGGCCAATCCCCGCCCAACTCGACGCGCTGCGTCGCATACAATAGCCGGTCAGCCGCGCTTCTCCGTGGCCCTTTACTTGCCCCCGACTTTTCCTTTGGCTGCTGGCCCAGACCCTCGCTCACCCCCTTATATTGACATTCACCTTCGCCCTGTCCCTGTTCTTCATCCTCGCCTTGACCCCACTCTGACCTCCGCCCTTGCACCGACCCTCACGTTGGCCATTGCAGTGGCCCTGACCCCAGCACCCCCTGAGCCCTTGCCCTAGTGCTGGCCCTGCCCCTTGAGCTTGGCCTCGCCAATGAATGTGCCCTGTCCTCCATCTCGACCTCACCCTTCCCGCTCTCTCAACCTGGCCTTTGACCTGGACCTCTCATTTTCCTGGTTTGGGCCTAGCCTTCACCCTGACCCTGGTCCCGACACTGGCCCTTATTCCAACCCTGACCCGACTCTCTTCCTCAACTTCACCCTTGCCCTGATCATCACCCCTGACCTCACTAGCATCTGCTATCTACCCCTACCCTTGTTCCTACCCTCACCTGACCCTGACACTCACCTGCACCCTGAACCTCGCCCTGGCCCTGACCCTTACTTTCACAATCACCTTCACAATGGCCCTCAGCCTCCCTCTTACCTTGGCACTGGCTCTTGCCCAAGCCCTGGCCCTAAACCTGGTGCCTCCCTTCCCATGGCCTCTGCCCTGACCCTCACCCTACCCTTGGCCCTGACCCTGGACCTCACTCTTGACTTGGTCCTGGCCAAGTTCATATCAGCGTTAGTGTAAGGGTGAGGGTCATGATGAGGTTAAAGGTCAGAGCAGGTGAGGGTCACAGTCAGGGTGATGAGGGTCAGAATCAGAGTGAGGGTGAGTGTCCAGTGCAGGGTAAAATTCTGTGTTAGGTTAAGGGTCAAGATGAGAGAGAGGTCAGGGTCGTGGTCAGTGTCAGAATCAGGCTCAAGGTCAAGATCAGTGTGAGGGACACTTTAGGGCAAGGGTTAGGCTCAAGGTCCAGTTGAAAATCAGTGTGTGTCAAGGTCAGGATCAGGGTCAGTGAGAGGCTGAAGGTCAGGGTTAGGATGCTGGTCATTGTCAAAGTGAGATAAGATTGAGAGTTGGATTCAAGTTGACAGTGAATGCCTAGTCCTGGGTAAGATTCAAGGTCAAGGTGAGGGTGAGGGTGATGTTCAGGATTGGGGTCAGCGTCCAGTTCAGGATCAAGATAAACGTGAGAATAACGTCAAGGTCAATTAAAAGTCAACGTGTTTGTTTTCTGTTGCTGCTGGAACGAATTGAGACTCCTCTCTCTCCCTCGTGCATGGGCGCATGATTACGTTGAGCCAACCTGCATAATCCAGGGTACCCTTTCCATCTCCAGGTCTGTACCCTTAATCACATCTGCAAAGTCCCTTTTGCTATGGAAGGCAACATATTCATAGTTTAGCACATGGACTTCTTTGGGGGGCCATTATTCCACCTACCACAGAGGGTCAGAGTTAAGTTTATAATCCAGGTCAGGTTCAAGATTAAGTTCAACGTGAGGATGGGTCAAGATGAGGGCCAAGCTGACGCTGAGGGTCACCATAATGAAGGTCAATGTCAGTGTGAAGTTCAATTTCAGGGTCAGGGTCCAGGTCAGGTCCAAGGTCATGATGTGATTAGGGTGAGTCAATGGTAACAGCCAAGTGTGAGTCCAGGTTCTGCTAGAGGGTCAGTGTTAGGATGAAGATGAAGGTCAGGGTGAAATCGAGATCTGAGTCAAGGTCAGTGTCAGGGTCAGAGTCATGTCAGGGTTAGTTCTGGGATGCAGACTCACCTCACTTTCAGCTAGAGTGGACAGTGTAGTGCAGGGTCAGGATCAAGGCAAGTCAAGGTTAGGGTGGCTCAGTACCATGCTCCTTGTCAAGGTGGGGATTCAGGCTGGGGCAGGGTGAGGCAGAGGGTCAGAATCAGACCGAGGGTGGTGAGTGTCTTAACTCATGAGTGTTCTGAGTCAGCATCAGTGCGAGAGTCGTCACTGCCAAGGGCATGTCAAGGTCAGTGTGAGGGTCAGGTTAACGGTCAGCATCAGGGCCAGGGTCATGACAAGCACCATGCAAGATGAATGTCAACTAGAGGGTCAGTTGAGGCGAAGGTGAGGGCCAAGTTCACGGACAAAGTTAAGTTCTAGGTCAAGTGGGGTCAGAGTCAGGGTGAGGGTCAGGGTCAATACCAAGATCAAGATCAGGTATGGGTGAGTAAGGTTCTGGCAAAGAATCGGGTGAGGCTTACAGTGAGTGTATAAGCCAGGGTCAGAGTGATGAGTAAGGGTCAGGTTAAGTGTCAGATTTGGGGTGGGTGTCAGGTTCAGTGAAAGCTCAAGGTCAAGGTGAGGGTTAGGGCCTTGTGTGAGTGGGGTTGGCTGAGGGTCAGTGGTCAGGGTGTGGGTACAGGCTCACATTTATGTGGTGGTGAGAGCTACCAGAAATTGAGCTGGGCCGGAGCTCAGAGTCGACAGAGGTGGCTGGAGAAACCGGCAGAGGCCAGACCCTCAAAACATCTTTAAAGACACATGAGACAGTCAGACTTCTCCCGGAAGCAACCCCTGGAGTTTACTGTGCTTTGTATTCCCTCTAGAGCCTGGAAGGCAGTGACTGTGGCAGCGTTAGTTGCCTGTGTCCTCAGTGCTTACAGAAGTTTATCCACATGGAGCACAAAACAAACACTTTAAGAATAAAAGATTGCTAAGAAGCTTTTATTAGTCTGTGTGTTTTCGTCTAGCCCTGAACCAATACCACATCCTCTATTGTTACAGCCCTAGGAGAAGTCCTGGTATCTGACAGGGTAAGTCCTTCCATCGTTTTTCTCCTCTTCTCCTGCCTCTGTTTCTGCTGCCTCCTCTCAACCTTTTCATTTCCATACATACTTCTGAATCGGCTTATCAAATTATTAAATAAGAAAAACAAGGGCTGGTTGAGACTGTATTGGGATTTACTGAATTAACAAATGGGTTCCAGGAACGCCTGTCTCCTTTGCTCTGGATCTGAGTAAGGTGGTGGCTTACACAGTAAGTGTAGGCCACTTTCCCAGTGACTACAGAGAAGCGAGGGCCAGGAGATGATGCCACCTCAGCCACTGCCCTTGACACGAACAGAAAGGCAGACACCAGGCAGAACTACTTGCGGTTTTTAAAATAAATCTCAAAACTGAACTAGTGTTTAATGTCTCTGAGAACAAAACCAAACAAAACCTCCCTTCCTGCTTACATTTCCGACACGAGGACATGACACTGCAATGCCCCGATGGCTCCACCAGGACAGGCCCTGACCAGGAAGCCAGCACCTGGAGAAGCAGTACCACGGCGGGCTCGGCAATGGAGCTCCCGTCTCTGGGGGGTTAGTTAGCACACAGATGGGAGGCCGACACATGGCCTGGGTCTCCTCTGCTGGGGCTGGACGACCTCGTCGCCTGGCTGGGAGCAGAACCAGGTATGAAGTGGGTCCTGTGTGGCCACGGGGTAGCTATGGAGGAGGTCGAATCAGGCTGGAGCAGAGGAACAAGAGGCCCGGATGGTCCTAGGGGCAGGCTGGTGGGGCCTAGCCCAGCATCTCAGCCCTCCGGGATGAAGGGCCGAATCAGCTCTGGATTCAACAGCGACTCCTCAAGAGGCCGGTCCACGTGGAAGTCATGGACGTGGGGGGGCCCCGAGTGGGCCTTGGGTGCAGGCCCCTCTGGGCGCTGGGGAATCGGCAGCTCTGAGGGGTGGGCAGGCAGGGGGGCTGTGAAGAAGTACTGGTGTAGGACAGCCTGGGGGTGGCAAGCAAGGAACAGCAGAGGGAAACCAGTCACCTCCCATCCCCGCCTCAGCTCACTTCCCTCTGGGGGGGACGCAAGCACTGCCCCGCAGAAGCTCATTCCTCCATCTGCTCATGCGCTCAGCTGACTCCAGCATGTCTGAGTGCTCACCGTTCGAGCACTGTTCCAGAGGACAGAACCTGCCTTCCTGAAGTTCTCCACATAGCCGGGGTGGGGATAACAGACAAGATAAAGAAGCGGGACAGACAGTGTGGCAGATTAGTGCTGTGGAAAGAGAAAGCACCATGGGCACGAGGAGTAGTGGAGGCTGCAGGCCTCAACAGTGGTGAGGGGAAGCCCGGGGGGGGGGGGGGGCGTGGCGCTCGAGCAGAGACCTGAGAGGTGAGCGAGAGAGGCCAGGGACGGAAATGCACAGACCCCAGGACATGGAGGGGCCTGGGGCCCAAGGGGAGTAAACAAGAGGGACGGGAGCTGGCAGGGTCAGAGAAGTGACAGCCCTGAGTGTGTGAGGCCTGTGAGCCACTAGGACCTGGGCTCCTCCACTGAAAGGAAGCCACAGGAGGGCCCTGCAGAGGAGGCTGTGACGGCCTGCCTGGACAAGGCCGCTCTGCCAGGTGAAGGAGACACTGAATGGGCAGGAGGAGAAGCAGACTCTGGGAGGCAGTGGCGGGGTGGTGGCTTAGACTGGGGGCAGCATTTCGAAGGCACTGCTGACATGGGGACTTACTAGGGGCGTGCATGAACACAGGCTGCCAGTGCCAAGGGTGGGGAGGGGAGGGTGGCCATGACGCCAGATGGACAGGCGCACCCGACAGAGGCCCTGACACCATCAGCCCGAGGTCCTTCCCCTCCTTCCCTGCCTCCCAGCCATGACCCACCTGTCCTGGGTCCTCCTCTCCAGGCCTCTGCTCATCGTGTCTCTTTGGAAGACACCTCCCCTATTTAACCTGTGCTCCTCCAGGAAGCCTCGTGCGACCCAAAGTCAGTCCCAGCCTCCCTCCCGCAGCTCCCACAGCCTGGCCACCCTGCCTCACGGCAGGGTGGAGACCACACGGGGCCAGGGCCCAGGACGATGCCCGACACCCGCTGGGTGCTGAGTAAACACTCGTTAAAGGGATGAAGGGATGCAGGAGCCAGTCACCAAAGACCCGAAGAGGCGCCCTTCTGCGAGGTGGGCACACCCTTCCAACGGGCCACCCCCTGCCGGCCCGCAGGCCCTCTGGGACCTGCTCACGAGAGAGGCACCTGCTCCTCACCCCGTTCTCTGGGATTCTGGTCCCAACCCATCACAGGCTCTGAGGGACCTTGACCTGCTGGGTCACCTGAGCATGAGTGGGGAGGGTCAGAGCAACGGGGTCCCCTACCTGGGAGGCCGAGATGCGCCGGCATGGAGGGTATAGAAGGAATTGCCCCAGCAGGTCCAGGGCCTGAGGAGAGGCGTCGGGCAGCACCTCCTCCAGGGGCACAGGCGCCTGCTCCTTGAAGGAGATCTTGTTGTAGTCGGGCAGCTCCGTGATCTCCTGAAGAGAAGCGGGTACGTGGGGGACAGCACCCATGTCAGTTCTCACTCGCGGGTGCCCACCCTGCTCTGGCAGTCCATCACTTGTGTCTCCATGCAGGCACTCAGTGCCTCCTCCTCCCTCACCCTCTCGGTGCCCGCTCCCTGCCCAGCTTGGAGAGAACTGCATGTGTGCTGGGGACAGGTGGGAAAGGACAGAGACAGGACCTGGCCCTCCCACCTCCAGCAGCGCCGGGAGGGAGGGGCCCCTGAGCTGGGCCAGGACAGTGGTCTGGGAGGTCAAGGAGGGCAGGGGCCATGAGAGAGAAGGTGCAGGGGACGGGAGTCACTAGCTGCTGCGGGGAATGGAGGACACCTGCCCCCACCCCTCCCGACCACGGGCCCTGCAAACCGGCCAGACTTGAGGGCTGGGGGTGCCCAAGATGCGAAGCACACAGCAAAGCTGTTCAATGTCATTCTCCCCTGGGAAAAGGGGGGACCCGTTCAACAGCTCCCCCAGGATGCAGCCCACAGCCCTGTGGATATAGAATCCAAATAGATCCATTGCCTCACACCGTGGACACAGGTCTCCCCACACCAGCTCCATCGCCTCATACCACGGATACAGGTACACAGATCTCCCCACACCAGCTCCATCACCTCACACCATGGACACAGGTCTCCCCACACCAGCTCCATCACCTCACACCGTGGACACAGGTCTCCCCACACCA